TTGAACTCTTTGTCAATGGCTTCCATCTCCTTTCTTAAGATTTCAACTTGCTTGATGGTGAATGGTTCGAAAAAGTCCTCCAAGAGGTACACCTCGTTGTCAAGTGGTTTCACCTTCAAGTGTCGTAGGAGGATGTGCGCGAGATCCTGACAGAACTGGTAAGGATACACCTGTGCCAGTTTGGTCCTGCTTCCGAAAGTACCAGCATTTCCCTCAAGGTTGATGTTCATGCTTGACTGAGCTGGTAAATTTTTTTACACTTTCTGAAGATCGGTCTCATTACCTCGGGAGGTAAACAGCGCATCAAGCTCGTGGGCCTGAAACGTCTGAGTCCGGATTCAGGATCTTTCAGTCCGTACGCACAGAAATAGAAATCTCCCCCGGTCACGGATGGATCTGAAAATAGCTGCTGCATACAGTTCAGACACCATATCTTGGATGTCTGAGGGTTTTCAATGATGAAATACATATCTTCCGTGCTTCAACTGATATCGCGCAATGGATGCCACAAACTCAACCATGGGAAGATAGCGTTTCCGCTTCTCCCAGACTCTTTTTTGGTCTGGCTGGATGTTCTGCATATTCACAGACCGGTGCCATGAGGATTACATCAGGTGCTTGCTCCTTCATGATCTCCGTGACCATGTGTCGTCCCTTGGATGTCATTACGTCGAATCCGGTGCGACCTGTGAGTGCGCAACATTGACTGAATCTGGCACTTCCTCAAACGTGGATCTTTCCTTCACGTGCGCAATTCCAATGTGCTTGTTCAGGAACGGATGTGAGGTCCTCGACGAACATGTTCTCTGCCGGATGAGGTGCTGCCGGCCTGGGAGTTGTCTTTCCCGCGATGCGTAATGGCACTGAGGATTTTGGCTTTGGAGCTGGTGCGGATGACTCCTTCTTCTTGGTGTCGGCAGAAGAGCCGGTTTGCTCTTTCTGTAAGGATTCTCGCTCTTCTGGCAAGAGAAGATCAATTCCAGGTTTTTTAGGAGGGATGGTTTCATCCGTTCTAACCTTGATGAGTCGAGTCCCGAGATCAAGTCAAATGACTTTTCCTTTTAGCCATATCCCTCCCTTGCTTCCATCGGAACAAATCTTGGATTTGTCTTCCTGCCAGTAGAAGACCTTGTCCTTCACCTGAAGAGGCTTAGAACTCATTCGGAGATTTTGAGCAAGGTCTCGTCGGATGTCTTTGGATTGACGTGCTTCTTGGAATGCTTGCTTGGGCAACTGCTTGATCTGGATGGCTGTCAGCTCTTCCTCATTCCTGTCAATCGTCAACTGAGTTGGTGTTGCGACATGGAGCTGGATGAGATCTGCTGCTCGTCTACAGTCTGATTCCTGACAGTTGCAGCTGCCTTCACCAGCTGTCTATATGTCACTTTCTTCAGTGTTGCAGGTGCTGTGCCTGCCTTGATGGAACTTAGCATGATCTTGAGTTGTGCCTTCAGGAGTCGAACTGCAGCTTCAGCTCGATTTGGCCATGGTGTGTTCGGTCCCAATGATATCGGTGTGATGTCAAGGGACAGAAATGTTCCCATGTCTCCGTCATGAAGGCTTGATCTGCGACAACTGATTTGGGCTGCAAGTGGTACTGGTGAAAATAGCTCCTGAGGACAGTGATGTTCTCGACTTCTTGCGTAGTTGTCACTGCCTCTGCAGTGAGCAATGTTGTTGCTCCATCCAGGATGACAAAAACAATGATGTGTTCTCCTGTTCCAAGAGGAACTTGACAGTGATCAACGAATGTCATGTCACCAAAGGTGTCCGCTCGAAGTCCGCTTGTCTTGCTTCGTGATGGTGCATGTTTTGCCACTTGCAAACTTCACACTCACTTCGGATCTTGTCAAATAGATCGAATGTTGATTTCGGCAAATGAAGTGCTCGAGTTCTGAATCGAAATTGGTCTGTTGTCATGTGATGGTGCTGGAGGTGGAGCTTCTTCAACTCTTCGGGATTTGACAATTGCTTGTGGATTCTGCCTAGGGCAATCGGAAGCGATGTTGGTTCATCTGAGGATGGTGCGAAAGGATCTGGCTCAATGGTCGATCGGCCCTTGTTGTCGATGATCCTGTCTGCTGCCGATCCTGAACCTGCTTCTTCGTCCTTAAGCGAATTGTCCGCGAAGGTGAAAATGGTCTTGACCTATCCACAGGTTAATCATTGGTTTGTTTGCCTGGGATGTAAGTCTCCAATTGTCTTCTAGGATGTCTGGATCTCCACCTTCGGATGCATCAATGAGTTCCGTAGTACGCTCTCGGCTGATATTATCAGGATTTATTGGACATTCCTTGGCTCCATTTGGTGTGAACAACGCCTTGCGAGGCGTAATGTGCACACGGATGAGCTGCTTGTTCTTCTTGTCAAGGATCCAATGGTCCTGCTTTTGAGACCCAATGATTTTAGGAGACCCAATGATTTTAGGAGTTGCTAGGTCCTCCTTCGTCTCGGATGATTTAGATGCACAAACAGGTTCAGTCTCGGAGATATCCCCGGAGGGAAATCTGATGCTGTTGTCATCATCGTAGACGTAGTTGGTGAGGCCCTTGATGGCAATTTCTCCATGTACTTTCACTCTTGCAACTCCAGCGAGGTCGACGGGTGCATTGAGGTGTGTGCTCGATGGTCATGTAGAGGTTCCGCATCTGACTGATGCTGAGGAGGATCGGTACAGTTCCTTGTTCAAGGATGTCGATGTTGGTACTGCATGGAGGAGTTGTGTGATATCGGAGATGCAATGGTCCATTTACCTTCGCTGTTTCTCCGTTTGCAAAAGTGAACTTGGTCTCGGCCGGGATGTACTGATAGGAGATGAGGTCCTTCATGGGTTCGATGGCCTGACTAAAACGCTGGATTGCATGCCAGGTGCCCATGGATCTGGTACATCCGTTGTCCAGGATCGCATAGGTCGGATTGTGCTGAGGGTTGATGACAGGCGCCATCAGCTTTGTTGCCGATCTGTTGTTACGGACAAATTGTGTTCTGAAACTGGATCAGCTTTTCGTGGATGGCCTCTTTCTCATGATGCTCATATGCGTCATGGAATGCCACGAGCGCTTGTCCTGTGCTGGATGTCTCATGGGATGAGTACCAGCCTTGTTCGTTCCATGTCCATGATTGATCCCAATCTTGGTCTGTCCAACCGGCGTAGGCAGGCTCTTGGAGTTCAGCAACTGGCTGTGTGGCAGGATGCTTCTCCGACTTCTCTGCAATGGCTGCGAACGTCTTGGATTTTCCTGTGTCTTTCCTTTGCCATTCTCATAGGATGGATAACCCTTGTTTCCATCATAGGGATATTGGAGTTTGGATTTCCTTTCTTTCCCTTCTTTCCTTTGCCTTTTCCCCAATATGCCTGGTCGTAGGGATCATAGTTTTCATTGGCCATATTGGCCTTCCCGCCAGACCCGCTTTTTCGAAAGGGTTTGAAGCCACCTCGTTGGTGACTGCCCTTTTTGTTTCCTGATTTCCCTTTTCCTTTTCTCTTTTTGAATTTGAAATTCCGCCCTGACACTTTTCTTGCTATGAACGCCCGTTCTTTTCGAGGACCCAGAATGTCTCTTCATCGTTGTTTGACATGAATCCTTCAAGTCCATCTTCATCTTCAACTCAAAAGCCTTCTTCTCCTTCGTATTCTCCTTGTTCGAGGATGAAGAATGTGTTGCTTCGGTTGTATCCTTGAGGTCTGATGAATGGATCTTGGATGGATGTCCTGGTCGTGATGAAGAGTTCATGGTAATGCGTCTTCAGCATCTCATAGGAGCAGTTCTCTAGTGAAATGTTTCTCAGTGACATAGCGCTGGTCAGTCTTTCGCTGCTGATCTGACAATTCACCCTGAATGATGAAAACTGCGCAATGAGGTTTTCCCCGAAGAGAAATGTACCGCTGTCTGTCCTGCATTCCCGTGATATACTGTCTGAGGACTGTTGGATCATCCTCATCGAGCAGGACTGGAGGCGGTACTCGATGTCGAGCAATTGTTCTTGCGTTTGCGTCCTGTGCGGACTGTTGAAATGATGGGGACTGTGCCGTGAAAACGGGCATCAAGTCCATCCATGCTGCCTTCAATCTCATGAGAAGGATTTCAAACTTGGAGGTAAAAATGAGGAACTCTTGGTTCTGCCTTCTATGATTGAAGAAATTGAGGAGCCTGTGCAGATACACGTTGGTCGCACCCTTCAAAAAGTACTTCTTCAGCGTGTTCTTGAAATAGTTGACTCCTTCATCAGGATCTTGCAAAAGGTCATTTTGGGGGACTGCCTTGTACATGTACATGTAAGCATCTCCTGTGAGTCTGCTTTTGAGTCCGTACACGGATGGTTTGGCTATACTTGCATAGGCCTCCATGAAGCTTTGCCATCGGATGACATTTTCCCTTGGATCTCTTACACTGTGGTAGTAGAGGTTGTTGATTTGGTCCCTGGATCTATTCCGGAGAGAGTCCAATATGCCAATATGGAGGATTGGAGGATGGATTGTCTCTGGTCACTTGGATTTGGCTGTATACCTGTAAAGCGTTCTGCAAGCCTTTTCTCAATGTACCATGCGTCGAATGACTGTACGATTGAAATAGAAGGGCCTTGAGCCAAATGTTGCATTGCAGGAGATCAAGTGTTCAAAAAACCAAACACAGGGGGCCACGTATCAGACGTCGGGCGGGGGGGGGGGGTTAGAGGGGGGGTTGTCCTCTATCCTCTCTTAGGTGTCCAACACGCCGAGCAATGTCGGCGGATATGTATATATACACATGCTGCATATCTGGCGGTGGCTGCATTCCATCAACAAAGCAGACACTTGGCGCATCGCCGCATGCTTTGATTGCGTCGAGAAAGTCACGCGGGCAACTTGTGGGGTTCCAATTAAACAGGCGAAAAAGGTCGCTTCCTTTCTAAGCCTGAAGTGTGAGCAAGTCACAGGAAGCAAGCTGTGCCCCAATACTTGCATTGGAAGCTTCAGGGTTCAGCCGGAAATGAGGCTTCTAGCCCCCTGAGTGTCCGACAGGAGCGCGTCCCCGATCTCACGCTTCGACGGGGTCCGCATCTCCCCCTCGCCCTTGTCAGCGCGCCAGCTGCCAGCCCCCAGGCGAAGCTCCGATCTATTGCAAAGGGCGCACCCCCCCTAATAATAGGACGGGTTTATTAATCCTGGGTTAACATAGGCTTTGTGGGGGTTGGACACTTCTAGACGTATGGGAATCTGCAGCGGATGCTGCAATGGCAACGATTGGGCTCTGTTGTTTGAATGCACTCAAAGCGGTTGATGCGCTCAAAGTCAGCAGGTGACTCTTTTCCACAGGGCCACAGAGGCTCCGATGGGGTAGATCACCACGGGCGCGACATGTGTCTCGCCAGGCAAAAAAGGGCCGCCCCTAAGAGCCGATGCAAGCAGAGGTTACAAACTGCCCTCATGCGCGCAAGCCTGATACATCTGTTGCACCAGGGCAAAGGGAGGCATGCAGCGTGCTCTGAGACAGGGTCGTCACCATGTTGAAGAGCATCATCAACCGTCTGTACCGCAGTCTTACCGGACTTCTTCTTCTTCTTGGCAGCAGTGAAGCTGGGGTCATAGGCGATGCGCCAGTGCCAGGTGCGCATGAACTTCTGCAATCCCAGACGACGCTTGGCGCGTTTCTTGGTCAGGGCATCGGCAAGGTCATATAGTCCGACGCCTTCCAGCGAAGTTCACTACTTCCTCCACAAGAAGTGGTTGGTCAAGACCAATGATGAGGACTGTCATCGTCACCTTTGTGCCAAAGTATTCAGCCAGGAGACCCAGAAGAGTGCCTACTATCCCTAGCGCTTGGTGCAGTCCATTGCCCGATGCTGGAGACAACAATTGACTTGCGCTTGCTCTTCCCCAACTGCAAGATCAAGGTTTACGACAACCTCACTCAGGAGGCTGAGAGTGCCAAGGATGTCATCCAACGCTTCACTGAAGGTTGGCTCACGCACTATCCCAAGCCTAAGCTGGTTGGCTGACTCGGCAAAGACGTTCGTGTCACGTCTGCCCTGCAAGATGTCGAGGAAGGCATTGTGATGTCCTTTGACATTGAGTTGCAGCGCAATGCCTTCATCAATGCTGCGGTCAACTTCCTGGTCAGAAAGATGAACAACGGCGAGGTCAATCTACAACGCCTATCAGCTATGGATCGTGAGCTCTTCAACAGGGCAAAGGCCAAGGAAGTCAGCCTTCATCAAGAATGAGGCTGTCCGGCGGTGCCTGAACGATGATGAGCTAGGAAGCTGTGGCGCCTGACGAGAAGTCAGAGGCCATCGCAGACGCCCAGACCAACCCACACACCCTCTACTCCAAGGATGGTGGCAAGAAAGCCAAGGCAAGACGTCCTGCTCGGCTTCCAGCATCCTAGCTTGTTGGATCCCACCTTCAAGACTGCAGCGCCTGTACAGTCAAACCTTGGGCGCAACTTGCTGTGTTTGGCCTTTCATCAGTGGCCCCTGGAAGGTTTGGGTTTGGCCACGGCCTTCCTGCAGAGCTAGCCTACAGAAGCTCTGGACCACTGGAGTTCGAGAAGCTTTGAAGGGCGTGTGCGCAGCCCTACAGAACTATGGTTGGACCTCCGCAAGAAGCTGGTCAATCTTGGAGCCGTTCCTGCGCTTGCTGAACGGTGTCTTTGGCTTTGGTTCTCGCGTACCGAGAAGGACTCCACCAACCGGTTTCCTCGCCTCATCGGCGTGATGCGTGGACATGTTGACGATTTCGATCGCATCGGCGATCGGAAATTTGGAAGAAGATCGAACGAGCTTACAAATGGGGCACGGTCAAGAGTCGCTCCTATCGTCATGCTGGCACGGATGTACAAACTGTCAACACCTCCGATGGCACATTCAAAATTGTGGTTGATCAAGAAGCTTACGTTGAGACCGTTGATGCAGGCAGAATGGTCCTCTCCGACCCCATGAAGTAGCTTCATGTCCTTGAATGCCTTGCAATGGTTGGCTGTTCAGACACAACCCCAACTGTGTGCGCGCTGCAACCTGCTCCTCACCGAGGTGGTCACTAATGGTACTTTGGAAACTGCAAGGGAAGTCCAGTTCATGGTTGCCCGCAAGGAGTCGTACAACCTGCAGTTTTTCAAGCTCCCTTCTGCCGTGCGCTGGAATGATTTGGTATTCATACCCATGGGCTCCAACCGACCCAAGGGAGACAGCACCGGCGGCATTATCACCATGGTCAGGTCGCTTGTTTCCTGGCGCACGTGGAAGTTGAGACGCAAGGCCATCGGCAGCAATGACGCTGAGGTGCAACTCAAATTTCCGAGCCCGACTCATCTGGTCGGAACTTCACGGCTGTGGTCACGCTTGGCAGCCTGATCGCACCCGCCCCTCACTGAGGCTGCAGAACAACAAGTCCTGATGATCAAGGGCATTCTCTGCACCAACTCTCGTGGTGGCTACGATGCTGTGGAATGAGTTGGCTGTGGCCGGAGGATGGAAAGTCATTGTGATTGGGTCATTGTTGCCAACCTTGACAAGGATGCGTCCACTCAAAGTAGAGCAGGGTCTGAGGGTCGTTGGTGAGGGTGTCGGTGATGAAGCCGACTGCGTGGGCCAACATCCGCCGTTCACGTCGGCGATGTGATTCCAGGACCTCCGTGGCGAAGTTGATGTATGTCCAGCGGCGCCATTTGGTGCATGGCAGGGAGAACCATGGGCGACGAGGACGATGTTCTCGTCGAAGAGCCTTCAGATTGGAGCTCTTAGAGATCAAAGCCAGAGGAAATGGTTGGCTACAAGCCTCACTGAGCCAGGAGTGTGGAGCGCACGCAATTTCCCAGACACCGTCTCGACCATATAGTTGGCTGACCTCAGTTGCCCTTGCCGCCGATAGAGCGGCTCCCATGAGCACGAGCTTAGATGCCATTGACGCCGTCAGAGACCTGGTAGAAGAGGATTGATCAGCTAGGAGAGCTTGCCGTCCTTGCCGCTGTGCGCGTCGGAGTTTTCCTCCTTCTTCATGGCTGTGGTCTTGCGGGGCTGGATGGTGCTGAGGAGATGCAACTTCTCCTCGGTCAGGTGGTACGCCAAGTCCGAAAGCAGCCCGGTGTCCTTCGCGGCTGTGGCATTGTTTGCCCAGATCCCATGAAGGAGTTGGGTGGAGGATCGGGTCTTTGAACTCGTGGGAGCGACCTTGTGGACTTGTCGCGGCTTTCTTGTGCATTTTGATCTGGTTGAAGAGGGTCTCTTCCGCATCGATCTTCTGCATGGCGAGGCAGATTGTTGAGGGTGGGAGAGTGCCCTCCATCAAGGGGTTGCAGCTCCTTAGCACCTGTCGGGTCATCTCGGGCATGTCCACCTTGATGTGTTGACCCTTAGAGCCAACCTGTGCTTTGCGCGCACACACACGCACACGCACAGATGCATCGCCGGCAGACAGATTGATGCCGCTAGGGATGTTTCTGTAAATTCAACATAGAGCTATGTGCTCGCCGGAGAAATTCCAAACTCGTGCACTTTGGCAGGAGCATCTTGCAGAACCACTGATTCCACACGCATGCGTTGGCTTCTCTGTCTCAATCCGTCCTGGCAATTCGGCAAAACAAGCAAACGCTGAGGTGCCAAGAAAGAACTCAAAGCAGACTTCGTGGGCTCATCGCTCCGACTCATGGCAGGTCTGGCTCGCCGCTGCAGACCAGGGCGCAGGCGGGGATGCAAGGAGTCAGGCAGTCAGGCAGCCAAAAAATCAGGGAGTGACGGCGCTTTGTTTGTTCTTGATACACAGATTGCCTTTCTTGTCCCATGGGAGGCGGTCGATGCGCCGGCCATGCTGCGCCAGCGTACTTTGCCCTGTGACCTGGGGCTGCCACCTGACAGGACTCGTACCTTCAAGGGGCCGAGCAAAGCGAAATGCAATTGCAGCCTTGCCAGGGTCATTTGGAAGCATACTCTTAGACAAGTCCCAATTCCGTGGCACCTAGATTTACCTTGCAATTGGGATTCTAAGTGCGAGTATATCTTTGCCCCCCGCAGTACACATGGAGTGATGGGACCTCCGCTGGCGGATGTCTTGTCGCAGGCCGGCCGTTATTCTCACTGGCGCCGACGGAGTCAGGGCCTCACCTCCATCGGCGTCCTTGGTGGTATCCTTTGGTTTCTCAAGCCCAGTTTTGAGAGAGAAGCAGCATGGACGCTCAGTCAGCCAGTGCTTGCGGGCCCACTTTGTGATCAGACTTGCAATGTCTTTCCAGCAGTCACACACATACACGCGCACACGCGCGCGCACACACACACACACACACACACACGCACACACACGCACAAGCACCCGCACTCCGCACCCGCACACCGCACACGCACACAACCCACACAACCAACGCAACGCAACGCAACACAACACATCACAGCGCAGCACAACACAACACATCACAACACACCACAGCACAGCACAACAAAACACAACAAAGCACACGCAAACACAATACAACGCAAACCAAAACACACCATATAACATATAACACAACACACAATTCATGCAGCACATTTGCACAACACACATACACAACTCTACAGCACACACGCACACACACACACACAGAGCACAACCACGCACGCCCAACACACGGCACAGAATGCGCAACACGCAACACAACACACAACACACAACACACAAACACATGTACAACGCACACAGACACTCAGCGCAGACACGCACACACACACACACAAACACAATACATCAACGACACGGTGAGGCCAGAACTCCTACGTCCAGGGCGCTGGGCGCCCAATTCAGGAATTTGTCAGGGTCCGGCAGGACTAGACAGCAACATGATGTCTGAAGTCAAAAAATTGAGGCGTGCGATTTTCAGAACACTTGCTTGCCAAGGTGTAATATGCAGAGGAACCCATTAAACAGGACTTTGGGGAACCATTATTGAAGGTCCGATTGAGAGCAAAAGGGACATGCCTCTTGCATAGACGGAGCGCACAGGACGGTCATAGGAATCCCTGGGATGTCCTCCCCCCAGGTGCTTTGCAGCACAGGCGTCCGCTCACTGCATGAAGTTTCACAGTTCCTGCATTTGCAAGTACACCTAAGAGCTCGGTTTTAGCTCAGATTCGTGTTGACAGAGCCTGGTTGACGCGGCAATTCCCGCAGACTATCCGGGCAACAAGTTCCAAGACACTCTTGCATGATAGCCGCAAGACTGCTCTCAATTTGCTGCACGAGGTCCTTCGGGCGCACGGAGCTGACGTCGGACAGGCTGGCAGTGACCGCACCAAGGTTCCGCTTGACGGAAGGAAGCAAAATCTTGGCAAAAGCCTCGCTGTCTCAACTCCGCGCATTCCCATTTTCCTCTTGCCATGGATTGGATTTTGAGCGCAGGCCGCCGGCGCGCGCGGTGCGGGAGGCGAGCCTGAGAAGTGTTGAGCAAACTGATGGTGAGGGGGGGGTCTGAAGGTTCTGAAGGTTCCCAGATCCGCCAGTTTTGTAAATGGTTTCTACTGCACGGAAGCTGCGCATCACCTCTAGCAATGCAGAACTTGTGTTGAGTGTGCCGGGGCAGCTGCCTGACGTTTGCCAATTGCCGATTGCCAGCGGTCTTTCAGAAAAAGAATTGGAAAGGGAAGGGATATGTTTGGCCATCCTTTTTGCAGTGCTGAAGCACTCAAGTTTTGCTAGTGGGCTGTGTCTTTCTAAGGGATCCCGCATTTTCTTGCTTCAATGCAATGTCCGCAGCTCACCAGTCCTCCTCCGCTGTGGAAAGCCTGCACCGGCGGCGCTGGCGTCGGCCCTCAGGACCTGTCGTGGCCCAAGGAAATCGGCGCCGGGGCGTGGTGGATACCATGGACTTGCCAACCGCGAGCATGACCCATTGAGCGCCGGATCTTTGAAGTCTCAGGCACCTGGTGCGAACCCCGCGACAAACCCTGGCGTGCAAGGCGGGGAGTGAAGGCCACCTCCGGAATCCATGTTTCTGTCTTGGGGGGCCAGACATGTTTCGGTGGCCACAGACACTTCGGTATCGTTCTTTTCTCCGTGGCAATGACCTTGATTTGACTTCCTTCATTCGGTTGCTCACATCAAAGGAGAGCGCTTGCACACACTCCTCCAGGTGCAGCCAACGAGTTTACACCCGCCTTCTTCAGGCTGGACACTGCGCATGCTTGTGATGCACTGCTTTTCCAAAGATGGCCACATCATGCTTTGCGGGCGCCAATCTGAGTCAGCCAGAGGCATACCCCAGACAATTTGTAGTGCAAAGTGATAGCCAGGCTTCAGGAGAAGCTAAGCTATCTCGCAGAGGAGGCACGGCTGCTTGCAGAACCTTTGGAGAAGAGTTGCCATCAGAGAAGGTCGGAGACTCACTGGCTGAGCCGCGAGTCTCATCAGACACTGAGGAATTCCCGAATTTTGCAGCTGTGTTTTGTTGCATTGGTCCTTGGTCCATATTCTCCTTGGAGAATCTCGCACGCCCGCCTTCCCTGCGCAGGGCACAGTTTCGCTGTAGGCGACAGGCTGCGACCTTAGTGCGGCCCTGGTGACTGACGTGCCCATGCCCTACAGAGAAAAGTTGATCCTGGTCACAACTCAGGAGCTCACTTTGGTAGTTGGAGAGTCGAGGCTTGATGCTTAAAGGCTTGGCTGCTTCGCGAGGTGAAGGCACTGGCAATGAGGGATTCAGCTGTCGAGCAGTCCATCCAATTCCAGTCAATAGTGGTGGACAAAATCAAAATTTAAAGGCAGTGCAGTGCTCGCTTAGACAGGAGTGGAGGAACCGGAGTCTTGGGACTGGCACAATGGTTGTTCTCGAAAGCCAACCAACGAGATGCAGCTTTCCTGCATGGAATGAATACATCGCACCATCAAGTCTGTTGGCCTTTTTAGCCACGTTTTGCCGGCCTCCTCCTCTTGAATTCAGTGGGCATTGCTGAGTGATCGTCAATGCCGTGTGCAAAAGGGTGTGATTGATGTAGCTGCGGGGCCCAATATGGGATTGTTTCGGCAGGGGGAACAACATTTGCTTGGTTGTTTCTTTGTTGTTTGCCTGTAAGCAACCAACCAAGAGGGAGCTCTCGTAAAAAAAGCACCCTGCAAGTACCCATGGGCGAAACATGCTGAGTGGATGATGGTTCGAGCATTTCCACAACAGGAGCTGCCATGCTAAATGCCACCAAGCAGCCTGTGTGTCACTTGGCATGGAACCCATTGCACTTAAGGTCGAGCGTGCAATTGTTTCGGAGCAGAGGTTTTGTTATTTTTGCAAACGAGAACTACTGCCTTGAGTTCTCCCTGGATCGGAACTTGCAGACAGGAGATTCTTTCGAAAGCAGCCCAACGGTGCCGGTGCAATCTACTTTGACAATTGTCTCCTGCCGTTTGCATTTTCCGACCACGGGGGCAGCACGTGCACTCTGGAACTCTCTATGAGCTGCCCGTCTAAGTGCCGGGGTACAGGGTGACATTCCCGCCACGGAAGCAAGCTGAAAGTTGCCCAGGTAGGCAGCATTCTTGGCAACAGATCCGCGTGCGCAGTAGAAGGTGTTGCAAATGAATGCAGCACAAGGCGTAACCACCCCAAGTGGTTGGCAGGGGTCTTTGAGGTGGATGCTTCGAGGTGGTGCAAGTTTGTGCTCTGAACAGGGCCAACAGCCTTGCGTTGGTCAATCGCAAGGCAGAGAACAGGTTTCATCTTGTGATGCACCACCTCCGACGCACTTGCTGGAAAGACCTCCCTTGAGGGTTTCCCTGCAAGAAGGGCAAACTGGCACACGTAGAATATATATATATATATAAGATATTGCTGCGCAGAAGTTTTTGTTCGCTGCTCTGAGCTCCGGGACACAGGGCACGTCAGAAATTTACTGGCACCGCCAGCTAGATTGCGCGGTTTGACTTTTGATTGACAGCCTTTACGTAGGTAGTCGCGGCATGACGGCATGTGTGACGGGGCCACGGATTCCACAAGGGTTCAGTGCGAGCGTGCATGCCAGTTTGTAGTTGCGACGTGGCCGCCGTCTCTGAAGAAGTGACAAAGCTCCGGTACGCTCCACTTTCAAAACGGCGTGATGGAGCCTGGCAGCTCTGTCGATCTCAAAAAAATACGTGAATAGCATTTGCCCACATTCCCATCGAGTCGGGGCGGCAGCTCAAAGCAGTTGCCGTCCTTGCTCCCAGGTTGCAGACGTAGCAGCCATGGCAGATCCGCTCCTGTCAGCTTTCTCTCGCCGTTCCTTGGTGCTTTGACACTCCTGTCGCACCGCCCTCAAACCAAGCACAAGCACAGTCCCCAAACATAAAAGAAACAGAGTTCAAACCAGCCCAGTTGAAATAGGACAGGGCCGTTTTAAACAACAGTGAGTGACTTTCTCCCCAGCAATCGAATCGGGATTAGCCTGCCTCTTTCGGCGTTTCTTCGCCACAGGCAGACGTTTGCGCTCCCCAATCCGCTCGCTTTCGTGTGTGTCCGAGTGGCGCTACTGTGCGCCAGGGATGGCCACCAGCCCCACCTCCGTGAGTTACGGCGGACAATGAAACTTGGGTGAAGGATGTGCATGATGGCTTTGGCCCAGGACATCTTGTTTATTGTTTTTCTCCGGAGAGCGCTCGACCTTGCCAATTTGCCCCGTCTTGAAACTTCCGCTCCGCTGCTGTGGCCCCTTCTTGTTGTCCTGGGTCCTGGGCGAACAGCTTGGCGCTCACGGCGCCGTGCCGCCCAGAAACCCTCTTCAAAGGCGGCGCTCGCGGCTGGCAGCAACACAGCCGCCCTTGAGCGCGGCGCCCACCACCGCATCTCCAGCTGTCTCGGCTCAGCCGATATCGCCGTCCCAGCAAGCGCACTTTGCTAGGCACGTCCGGCAGACGCTTTGCCCGTGCTTCACCAACGTCGCGGTCGCTCATTGGGTCCGAGGAGGACGAAGCGGCTGCTGCGGCGGCCAGCTCAGCCTCCTGGTTGATGCGCCACGTCCCTCAAGCCGAGCACATCGCCAAGGTCCGGCCCCACATCCGCAGCTGGCAGTGGACTCTCGAGACAGAAGCCGGCGCAGCCGGCAACGGCCGAAGCGGCTTTGGCAGTCGGTGCGCGGGATCCCGCAAAGCGGCGAGCGCCGCCGTGCGCGTGCCATTTTCGACATGTTGCAGGCGCGTCTGCAAGCGCATGCCGGCATCCAGGTTAACTTGGGGAAGACTCGCGCTTGGAACGCCGGCGGCATGCTGGCTGGGTGGGCGACCTGTCCCTGCCACCCAACCAGCAAGGGTTGGGTGTCCTCGGGTCCCTTCTTGGCAGCCACGCGTTCACACAAGGCGTTCCTGGCTGAGAAGCGCGCGTCCCAAGACGCGCTCCTGCAGCGTATCCCGGCCGTGCCGCACCTGCAGTCGGCGTGGCTGATACTGCTGCTGTGCGGCGCGCCCCGTGCCAACTACCTCCTTCGCATCTTGCCCCCTTGCCGCACCCTTGCTTTTGCCCGCGAGCATGACGCGGCGGTGCTGCGCTGCCTGGAGCGGCTCCTCAGCGTTGAGGAGCCCTTCGAGCTCGACGCCCCGCAGCGCCGACGGGCCCAACTGCCCTTGGCGAGGGGCGGGATGGGCTTGCGGTTTGCCGAGCGAAGGAGGTCTGCTGCCTACTGGGCATCTTGGGCTGACACCCGGCAACTTGGCAGTTTCGCTCGCCGCGGGCGGACAGCACGCGCCCAGCGTGCGTGCCGCTGCCGAAGCAGCTGAGGCGCTGCGGACTGATGGCTTTCAGCCCCCCATCGTGGGACGAGCTGCTGCGCCTTGACCCGCGCGGCCAGGGTAGAGACTTTGGCGATTACACCCGTGGCGGGCAGCGTGCTGCCGGAATGGCGCTTGACCTCGCTGATGAGGCAGGTCTGCTTGCTGACCTGGATACAGCCTCTCGCGCGCTGCTCCTTTCCCAAGCAGGCGACCATGCCTGGTGCTTCTTCATTGTCCTCCCCACTGCCCCCGAGTTCAACGTCCCGGACCATCATTCTTTTTTTTGCCTCGCGCCTTTTCCGCAGCGGCTCTGTCCTTTATTTTTTTTTTGGGAGGGGGCCTGGGCACAAAGGCTGCGCAGGCTGTTTTTTCGGAGGCCAGCTTCCCCACCTGCAAGCGCTGTTTTTTATGGAGGCCAGCACCCTCACATGCAAGGCCCTACCGGGCAGGCAGGCGGGACACATCCGGGGCATCCCGGACGCCCGCCAACAAGTCACTGGGAGCTGCAGCGGGCTGGGGGCGAACGCGCGCTGCGCGGCGACTGCGAGGAGCCACCGCCGCACATACGCCTGCGCAGCAAAGGCCACCCCCTCCGGGAGCCACCGACCACCGACCTCGAGACCGAGGATCAGTAGGCGGCAGCGCCGGCTCCGGAGGTGGCGCAGGGCTAGGCCGGGTTCACGGTCACCCGGCCGCGGAGCGCTGTTAGCTTGGACAGGGCTGACAAGGGTGGTGTCCACAGCAACCTGCACACCGCCCCAGATGGGCAGGGCATTGGTCGTCCAGCGCCGGCGCATCGACGCAAAAGGCGTGTTCTCGGCTACACGGGCTCCAGCCTCGTGGCAGACCCTGGCAGTTGCGCGCTCCAGTGGCACACTGCGGGGCCCTAACACGCCAGCGCGGGCACGCCGCACGGTGGCCCCCCAAAGCATCCCGCGCGCTCCGGGAGGAGCACACCCGCTACGCGCGCCGCAGCCCCCTGCGAGACGCCACTTACCCCGAGCTTGTGGGCAACGCCCGTTGCCGCCTTGTGGCTCTCGGGGCTGAAGTTGGGGGCCGCTGGAGTGCTGAGGCCGCAGAGTTTGTGCGCTTGCTGGCCCACGCCAAAGCTCGTGCTGCCCCAGCCGTGCTGCGGCCTCCTTTGCGCGGCGCGTACGTGCACCGCTGGTCTGGCTTGCTCGCTGCGGCTGCATCCCTAGCTTTTGCTGAGAGCTTGACTTGCCCGCTGTTCGGGGAAAAGCGTGCGTCGATGGCGCAGAGCCGCCGGTGAGCGACCTGCTCGCCGACGCCAGGTGGGAGAATGAGCCGGCGCCGAGCCGCGCCCGTTTGTCATGTTCACCTAGGGCAAGCAGCAAGGACCTCCGACGGCTCGGGCGCCGGGCCATCAAGGTTGCTCAGGCCAGGAGAAGACGCGCAGGTCAAGCTAGCGGCAAAGGCCAGAGAGGCTGCGGCGTTGAGCAGGCCGGACCAGCGATGGACATAGGCCGGCCGAAGCGCAGGCTGCAAAGCCGCGGGGGCGGCGCGCGCCTTGGCTCGAGCAAGCAGGCGCAAAAAGTCCGCGCCGACTTCGTCACCAAGCGCGACCAAGCGGCAGCGGTCGCTGCCAAGGAGCTCGCCGGGCGGGAAGGCTCACGCCGAGAGCGTGCCGCTCCATCGGACGTGAGGGGTTGCAAAATGTGTGTTCTGCACATGTTCAGTTTGTTTGTGCCAGTCTTGATGATTTTTTTTTTTTCTCGGACCTTTTTCCGTCAAGCCGCGGTGAAACAGGGTGAAACACGCGACCGGTCCCTACGCGCCCGGCGCCCAACGGGCGTCGGACAGGACATCGCCCTCCAGCGGCGCGCTGGCGTACGCGTCGCCAACGTCGGTGGGGAGTTGGCAGAGGCTCGCAGCGAACGCTCCCTGCGCTGCGACTGCGAGCATCTGCCCCCACCGGCGCCTGTACGCGGCTGCGACCGCCGCGCTGCGCCGCGGGGCTGGCGAGAGCTCGGCCCTGCGCGATGCGGTGGAGGAAGGCCTCAGTCTCCTCGCCCCATCTCCCTCGACACCGCCGGGCTCGCTGAAACTCCGGGTAGGTTACCCGAT